GACGACGATAACTGAGACGCGCATACTTCGACTAACCTCATCCTGGCACCAGGCTATATCTGCCATGTACCAAATCTCAATCACCAAAACCGAACAAACAATGCTCTTCAATGAACAAGTACCCTAGAGTAGGATGTGTTGCAATTAGCATACACCTCAGATTCAGTTTCTTCTCGCAAGAGTTCTTCGGTGTACTCTTGAGACTAGCATCCTCTTAAAAGCAGACACAGTACGCTGCAAACCCGAAAACAATCGGGCAATCTGAGCCGCCCTCTGAGCACTGTCTATACCTCCCGTATCATTGCGCTATCATTCCCGCCAAATCGTATTCGGCCTCGCGGCAACTCCCCGGACATTATCCTCCCCGTCACCGGCCCCAGATGGTTGTCAGACAAGATACTCCTCTCGGTCTCCAGGCTGCCTGGGGAGCTGGCGGGGGGGGGGGAGACGGGTATTGGCAGCCTGCGCCGCACGACACGCTGCATCCTGCAGACGGTCTTTTACGCAAAACAAATAAGATCAGTTTCATCGGTGCAGGATCGTACACACACTCGCGCGCGAATTCCCAAACCCGCGAGCGATTTGGGCCTTTAATATTATACATTAAACGTGAGGTACGAGATGGAAGATAACAATCGATCTCGTACCCAGGGGGAACGGGAACACTCGCGCGGCAACTGGTCGATGTCCGGCGCGCGCAATGCACGAGAACTACACTAGGAACTTCAATTTGTAAACATAATGGCATAAATTAACCCAAATTTCAGCCTAACTTCGCTGCAGGGTCGTCTTATGCTAGACACGCGCAATATTTTCGGCTCCGTGGGGCCCACTTCCCCCGATTTGAAGCGGTTGCGGAGTGAAAATAGGACAGTGACAAATCGCATTGACAATCTGATAACACTGATAAATCCGTCCTGGCACCAGTCCAAGAAAAAAAGAAGCCCTTCATATGCACCATTATAAAAATAGATACAGTAGAAATGCGCATTATAATATTATAATATTGCTAACAATGGCGAACGAACGTTTTGACCAATATGTAAAGGGAGAACCGTAGGCCTCCAATTCTCAAAACATGCATTTTGTACGCAAGCCAGTTTCACCGTGGCTGTAGTTGGGAATTCCATGTATGCAGGAAATTCTTTCAACTTCTTTTCAATCATGTTACATGCGCAGATCAGAGAAGCAAATACTTGGGATCATACTGGATTTTACGAATAATTTTTCTCATGAATTCTAAAGTATTATCCTCATATGGGTTGCGATGGCGCGTACTAGTTTAAATACGCAATTATTCCAACACGAAGAATTCATAAGCCTGAGCTGGACCAAGAAAGGTCGTAATTTCCTAGCAACAGAAGCTCCTTTGGCAAGAACCAAACTTCGCTGGTTCACGAATGACTATGAAATGCACGTGTTACGGTCGCATCGCTGCCAACAAAATTAACACTCCTGGCCAACATGGCTCTTTGAACCAATGAGGGCGTGCTTCTCCTCAAGGCGGATAGCCTCCCCGCTTCACCTTTTCATGTTAGAAAGACTCCTTCTTTCCCCAAAGTACTGCGTCTGTGTATAATGTTCTTACCTGTGACTCTAAATAACAGGCTGGCCCATGGAAGCTGCTAGGAAGTGGATGTATCATTTCCAACTTGGTGTTACTGCCAGCCGTGGCGAAGTCGTTAAACGCGTATTGCTTGCGAAAACCTCCTTTAACACCATGGTTTTTTGTACGCTCGCTAAGGACGCGATCGCAAACGCGAATTTCATAACTTATGAGCAAGCACGGGTACCCATATAGCACGATGGAACCACGGGCCATTAGGCCATGGGTGGAGAACATAATGCGCTGAGCCACACTCACGTCTGCGATTGATTGCTGGTGAAAAAAGAACGTGTAGAAGAATACGGCACTTAAGTAGAGACGGTCTCCAAGATTGATTTTGCTTCGTCTGCGGCACAAAATTGGTTGCGTGCTCACATGCGCCAGGGTTATAGCCCGGGCTCACAGTAGAGAAGATTCGTGATACGTGATATGCCCTTGCACGCGGGGGGGGGAGATTATGGTTATTCATGTCAGTTCTGTCCGCCATCACTAAAAAAGCTCAGGTATAGTATATAGAGAGACTCAAAGTCTGAAGGGAACATGTGTTCGATCGGATTTAAGTGACTTGCTGAAGTTCAAAGGGGACATTCGAAGGGGTTCGAGTTAAAACTTGGTGTTCTGCGAGCGAGGACGGTTTTGCCAGATTTGCCTCGCACACTGTGGGTGGTTATGCTCAGGCCTGAAAGGGCCGGAAAACAGGCATGTATTGCTATGTATCTTAACATAATTCGTGCGGTTAAATTAAGGTCAGTTGGGAGTTTCCTTTTCTCTCCTACGGACTCGGACTTGACCAGTTTGGTCTCGCAATGTGACTTGAAAGGCTACAGACCCCCCTGCAGCTGGTACTCGGTGATGGCTTCTTTATCGTGGCAAGGAACCACTGAAAAAAAGTTTAATCCGTTTATTAATAACGCCAATAACCAAAGTAGTCAATCTTGCAACAATGCACATGCAGTCGACCTGTGCATGCCTTGAGCACACGTGAAATTTGATGGCCGATTCGTGTATTTAGAAGGCCAAAATTCGCCTGTGATGGGGACACGTACATGATGAAAAAATCTATAAAATTCGAACAAAATGTCTGCATTTCAAGATTTTTGTAATTTTTATGTCGCAGCCGTCAAAATCAGTGCCAACGTCTGTCCATGCAACTTGGAAACGCAGTTTTTTTTTTCAATTTCCAAACCGCATTCACACGACGGCCAGCCAGTGATACATTCACTCCTACCAACACAAACATCCAAGACTTTGTTATTCCGCACAGACTCCGGTGTCTTTCTAAACATTTTTCTCCAACCTTCCCCCCCCCCAAATTTGAGACGCATTCCGGCATCGGTAGATACGCACGAACGGCAATGCGATAACAAGACCCCCGACCATTTATTTGTACACGTCCCTCTTCGAATGAACTTCTCCTTTTCGGCCCCAGCGATGCCAATGAGGCGGCCATGTTTATTAGTCTACGCGGCTATCCATCATTTTCCGCGTGACACTCCAATTTCGGGTATTCTGGATCGAGCGAGCGCGCGCGGAGAGGACAGGGCATAAGATGAACCTTTGCCCAGGAACAAGTTGGCGTTCAACCCGGAGCGACATTGAATCACGTCAACTGTGGGAAAATTCCTGTGGTTTTTTCCCACCAGACTAGAATCAGCAAGAAAATATCTCTGCACGAATCCTTCTATTTAGTGGGTGATTTAATTATAGGCAAAAAAGAATGTTCTATTCATCATGCTGTTTGGGACGACATTAACATTAATACACGCGCGCTCGAACGGTGCTGACGCTTTCGGGCGGGTAGATGGCCACTTTTTTGGTCGTTGCCAAGCGATTGCCGAGTAACTTGGTGTCATCTCTCGCTTCGTGACGATGTTCTTGCTGGTTTTGAATTACCGTGATTACACGGGCATTAAACTTATTTGGTTTGTAGCGCAGTAAATCAGTGGCGCGGAGCGTGGCCTGGTCCCTCTTTTGACAGCAATTTTAGATTGGCTTGTATAGGGTGACGGGGAGAACATGGGACGGGGAAGGACGGAGGTTGGAATAAAATGTGGAGCGCAGAATCCGAGTCCATGGCGTGTATGGAGGGGATGTGAATTAGGAGGAGAATGGTGGTGATGATGGGTAGTGATTGTGGCGATGGTGCCGAAGGAGGTGAGCGTTGAGGTCACGGTGGTGGGGTGACGCTGCTGCTGGAGGCATTTGAAAACTAATGTTCTGGAACACTTGCGATGTGCAATATTGATGACGCAAGTACCGTAGGTGATCTTGATGGTCGCTGTGTGTTGATCGTGATACTGATAGCGATATGGTGACAACGGCCGGTGTAATAACAGTGATGACAAAGGAAAAGATGGCAGTGGCCATGCCGCCGTTACTGGGAGTGACGATGGAGATTACGACAACGGCAGTGCCACGGGCGACACCCAAACCGCAGAATGACTGAAATGCAGTCACAAGAACTGTGCGCCGGTCGATGACAAAAGGACTAGACAACGGAGAGGATTGTCAAGAGGGAAAAAGTATGTCAAGTCCATTTTGACAGCGATAAATATTTTCCTCCTCCTGTCAACCTTGTTTGGAAAATGTCGGCCACCGATAGAACATTGACGGACCACCGAAGCGCCAAGGCTCCCGGCACCACGTGACGTGTCAAAGGTCACGGGGAGATAGCCTCTCAAAGACGCCGCCTCCTCCGGAAAGAAGTCGTACTGGAAGAAACGGCGACACGAGAGGGGAAAAAACAGCGGAATCACAAGCAAGCACCGTTCATAAATAAACAGCTCAACTATCGTATTTTCGGAGAGAACATAAGACCTCAGCGGAATGCGTCACTTGACCCGGTGGCTGACCTCCGCTAGGCCGATGGGTGGGGCGGGGTCACGTTCAAGAGCGCTCGACATTCTGTACATGTTGCGGGGCGACCGCCTATCTTTTGACAGGCCCATTAAGGCGATAGGATTCCGATTATTTACCACTCCACAAATCACGACGAGAGAAATAGACAGATCAGGTTTTTCATCGGCCCAAGCCGAGGCCGCTTCGCGCTCTCCTCTTGACGTATTTATGCGCCAATTCTTGGCATTTATGCCAGTGGGCAATAAGAGGTTCCATGTAAACAATCAATATTTTTGAAATGTTGCATCAAGGGCCGGTAAAGAACCATAAATTTCACCAATATATAGTTATGAACGTCCCCTGCAGACCATTAAATGTGTTACAGTCACATTGGGTTGTCAGAATGATCTTAATTGCCATGGGTTCGAGTACACGTGCGTTCAAGTTTTAGTCTGCTCGCGCGTTGCTTCGGTTTGCAGGAATTTAAAAGTTTACAGTTGTTTGGAGACAAAATTTACGCTTATCCCTTTTTCAATTTTTGTTTTTTCGTATACAGGCCGAAAAAAAGGGAGAAAGATGTACAAAAAAACATGGCACTGCATGTGGTTTCAATTCTAATTTGGAATGTTAAGGAGGCGTTCCATATTACAGTGTAAATTTACACCGACAGAAGGTGAGCGCCATCGGTCGCTGACCTTGCCTCTGAAAGGCTAAGTCACTGAAACCGGTTTACATTAATGAGGGCGCTGCTACCCAATGAAAAGTGGAATGGGCGGATTGACATATCCGTCTGTTCCTTGCTCCACGCCTATACACACCATGCCAGTTCACTGACGCGCATCGTTTATTCCTTCTACTGGCCCATAGCATTATTCCTATAAAATTAACGATTAGACGTGCCTGGTAATTTTCTAATAAAAGGACAGAATGAAAGATTTCTAAAGTTACATTCAGTGGTTCGGTGGGGGTCACTGGTCTCCAATTTTCAGGATAATAAGAAAGGCCCAAGGTCCTCCTTGCGCACGGGTTGCTAATATTTTATCGAACAACAAAATGGAACCAAAAGAACCTCACAGCTTGAAAATTTGGTGAATGTTCACCACGGACATCATGGAATTTAAGATCCCACTGAATAGAGACGACTCATAATTTTCACACATTCAGTACTGATACTGATAGTGCAGCGACAACAACCACATTCATTCAAGAAACACTTTACATTAAACAGTGACAAGTTTACCAACAACGTGACGACTGACAGTAACAAGTAACGGTTAGTTTGTACTTATCGTGCCTCTGTCACAGGTTGTCCAAGAGCGTCATCATCTAACCGGCAAAACGACGGGCTCCCAAACGCCAAAGCGGGAAATCTTCGTGGCCTACGAAGCTCTGAGCTGGCTTGGCATTTTGAAACTAATTTATTACTCGCTGATGTTCTTAGCAGCGATGTCAGTAGTCTGGGCAGTGATAAGGTTGAACAAGTACCGATAACTAGCAGTGGGTTCTCCGCGTGAAGGGATTAGGAGATCTAATGCAACCGCACGAGGTTCGGGCGCTGGCACAGCTGTCAAAATTAAGCAATGACCGTGACAATGCCTCCCCCCCCCTCCGTAGCAATGTGATAATTAAAGCCAAATAAACTGAAGCTCCGGTGAAGGTTCAACTCAAACATATTAAACAACACGGTGCGCAGGAAATGTCTTTTTAAAGGCACCGGCAAGTGAGGGCGGTATTTAACAAATCTAAGCCACATCCTAGTCAAGTTCAAGTACAAACTTGTATGAGAAAAAAGAACCGAGCCCACAAGAACTTTCTCTTGTGATGCTGCCGTCGACGTTTTTGCCACATAAGTGGATCACAAACTATGACGGCCGTCGTCACAAATGATTTCGTTTTAAAGTGTTTAAAAACTCTCAGCGAGCGAAACAAACTGAGCGAAACAAACTGAGCCAACTGTGATCCAACCTCTGAATGCTAAAATAAATCAAAATATACTCCGCCCCCCGCACACACTGATGATAAGGAGTATACATGAAGATGTTCATTTGAACCAAAAGAAAAGCTATTGTCTACCCAAGATAAACTTTACACGCGAAATCAAAAAGAGGCCAGTGTTTGTGAACGAAAAAAAAAATTTACGCATGGATCATTGAGTTAGGACTAGAGACGATACAAATCGATCACGTCATGGTGGTGGTGTGACCAGATTCAAAGATCATGCTGTTTACGTAAAATTTCTGTCAACCCCGCTGTCCCGGTATAGTATAGTAGGCCTAGGCCGTTTTCCAATTCTCAATTCGTCTCCGTCTGAGGATGCGTCCCCGAAACCAATCCCCGATTGTGGGCCTGAAGCGTTTAAATCAAATTGGATTACTGTAAGTTCTTGCTCTCTTACATCTTATTTGATATTTTGTGGCACTATTAGACTAATTAGTGCGCTTACAGCTTCAAAGTCAGGTAGTAAAAAAACACAGTTGAAGCCTCCGACGGAGCCGAATTGAGTATTGGAAAAGGGCCCTAGTGTTCTTACACGTAGCATGTACGCGCTACAGTGCGTGTGCAATGCACATGTGTCGACGTTTGGGGGCAGGGTACCAGTCTAGTTGTAAAATACAAGATGGTGGCCCCTAGCAAGCTCTGGCAAGTTTGCTCTTGCTACGAGATGTGCCATTGTTGGAACCCTTCCTGTATTGGGGCATCTTGGGACATTGCGAAGGCCAGCTGGCGGTATTCTTTCCGAACGTATCTGATATTTTACACGGTGAGTCTGATGACAAAAATGTGTCTGGCAACTTGTTTGGTCGGCGTGCCTGGTTATTAACGTTAGACGTGCGCTTCGCCCAGTTCACGAATTAATTCAGTGCTCCTTATAAGCCAGTACTAGGCCTTTGTTGTCAGTGTTCACAGGTATGGGAACAATTTCTGAATCATTAGTAATTAATTTTGCATGAACAGTCCGTAATTAGGGACATTGGCCTTATCGCTAATACCGCATGGCTGATTTTGCACAACTGAGGAAAGGCATTGTGGGAAGGGAAGCTAGTAAAAAACAGATTTCTCTCCTCCCTACCTTCTTGTTTTACTGCCCCTCTGGCATGTCTCGCCCTGCAATGAAAGCCACCCTGTAATGGGTTGCATGCATCACAATCCCAGTGACAAATGACAGTGCGGCTTTCATTTGAGGGCAAAAGGGACAGAAGAAGAAAAAGATAGGAGCCACGCTGTCATTGGTCAAGCTGTCACACTGTAGATTACGATGACATTTTAATTCAAGTGCCGCTGGTAGTCTTCCGTGGTTGAGTAAGCAAAGTTCTCTGCAAATTCTCATCATCTCTCTAAGCTCATCAAGTCTTTACAGTCGGAATAGCCGAAACTTTTCTGTAGCATGTTGCACATGTCTGTCTGTGATGTTTATAAAACTGTACTGTTTTAGAAGTATTCCTAACTCCCCAACCAAAATTAAGGTTCCCCTTTCTTCTTTCCCCTAAAAGGTTTCATCCCTCATCTTCCACAAGGGCATCCCCAGTCTACGGCATCTCTTAGTGGACGTTCTGCGCTCCTCCAACTTTTTGGCCTGCAACGCCATCGTGTTCATTTCTTCAATATGTGCCTTCAGGTATTAAAAAAGCAGCGCCCAGTTTGAATAGCAAGCAACCGTAACCCTAAGTCTGTTACGTTTGTTTCAGGAAGCCTCAAAACAGTCCTCCATTCCTTATATTTATTGAGACCAACATCAAGGGTCAGGAAATTGTAATGGCATAACGTGTACCTTGTCACAAGAGCAAACTTATTTTCACACAGAACATTACTTTTATTGCTATTTCATCACGTGCCAAGCAAAGGTCATAAGTGCACTTACGCCCTTTTGCTGGGACGCATGATCACAGCAGAAAAAATGTTCCCAGCAAAAGGGTGTAAGAAACACACTCTCTTTTTGAAGTAAAAACGTGTGAAATTTACTACTAATCAACACAGGCTGTGCAAAAAGCAACCTTTGAACAACTTATTAAACGACTTGGGAACTTTTTAACTTTTTGCAAAGAAATCTTCATTTTTCATTTAAGTAAAACAGTTGCATACATACGTCCTTTTTGCCAGAAATTTTTTTTTCAGTGATTATGCTTCCCGGCAAAAGGTCATAAGCGCTTACGATCTACTTCCAGGCACCCGACGATTTGATGTTTGTCATTCTATGGACTTGATATACATGGCACTCTTTGGGCCAGCAAGAGGAGGGCAGGGCATTTTGAGTGCTCTGGTTCATGGGCACTTTTGATGAGGTTTGGGTAGAAATTAGGGGTCAAAAAGTGTGACAGTCCCTGTTTCATCTGACCTTTGTTATTTGACATTATTTTTACAATTAAGAACAATCGGTTACCAAGGAAGGTTTTTCTTGGGGCAAGTTTGAGTGACAACTATAGTCTACCATTGTTTGACTAACACAGCCCAAATGATTTGGACTGTCTGGTCGACCATTTGGTACCAGACCCTGGTGCATGGTCATTCCGCTGGTTATCAATAGCTGATTTCATTGATCATTATGGAAGGAACCAATCACAATAATTGTACGATATTTCAGTGACCATGTACACTGCGAGAATCGCAGCCGCCAGTGAAATGTAAGTAATGATGAGGTATTAAAAGGATGGACCAACCAGGGTCGTTGCGTGTAACTGAATTGTGCAGGCACGTGGTTAAGCACTCGGCTACTGGTCAAAGTATCGTTGGCACCCAAACTTGACCCAGCTGCAGCAGCCTTGGGATCAGGGCCGTGCACCGGGCGGTGTGCTTGCTGGAAACACTAAATTCATGTTGTCACATCGTGCGTCTGTATCTCCAGACAGGTGCTTGGCCGCTTCTTCAGGTGGTTTGTTTGGGGGCCTGCTTGCGTGGCCTCGGCAGTGGCCATATCCATGGAGAAGAAAAGCAGGTGGGTTACTGAGATCCTTGGTTAGTTTCATTGGATCTTGTGGGAGATGTCAGAACAGATTGGATGCGCTTAATTGAGGAAAATATTACGACAAATAAAAGGGTTTTTTTGGGGGGTATTGTTTTTGTTAGTAACTCGGAAGCCAGTCTGCTTTGCAGGCCCATGGAACCGTCTTTTAAATTCCCATCATTTTTTAATATGGGGTTGGTAATTAGGTTCAATTAACCCTAACCCCCTAGAGTGCAAGTAAAATCATATTGAAATTGGAGGATTGAGAACTGGTAGGTTACACTCTTCTGTGGAGTTGTTCAACAGGGCAAGGCCTACAGATCGTATAGCTGTCAATAGTTCCGAACTTTGCTATTAGAATTTTGTTTTGTGTTTGTGTTTCAGGAGAGCTCCTTTGGCTTTGTACATGGTGACGCTGGTGAGTTGAAATAAAATATCCGACAGTTTTCTGTGCTTCTGAAACAAAGTGACCTGCTTTTATTCTCAATATCTTTTGGGAGGAATATATATTCAGTTTTGCCGAGAAGTTGTAGTCACTATGTTGGGTCATGGCGTAAATAGTACAAAAATCAGAGTTTTTCTCTGATGCTTTTTTTTCTTTTGTTACTTGTTATTCTGTCCTTTGTGTTTGTGTGTCTAGGCAATTGAGCTTTTGATCAACATCTTCCTGTCCAGGGGCTGGGTCAAACCAATCAAATATGGTGAGGTAAGTTACCATGGCAACGGGATCACATCCAGTTCTCATAAGTAAGAGATTTCACAATGTTACAAATGAGAACTTTTATGGACAATGAAATGGACTTTCTTTTCAACCGGCAAAGAATTTATTCTGTCAGCAACCTTGTACCAGAATTGGTTGTCCTAGAATTAGTTTCATAGGCTAATTTGTGTTTTGTCAAGAAATCTAGTAAGCATCTATGCCTAAGATGAACGGAAAAGGTTACAAAATATTCACAGATTTAAAAATGTACTATATTCATAATTTTGTCAAGAGAAAGTTGAGGAAAGTATAGTTCTTTTTCCACCAAATAATTACTACAATTTCTTGTTTGAAAATGTTTCATGTTTTGAAGCATAAAACAGCAGCAGGGTGCATTTCAGTCCAGGCTGCACATCAAGTGACAGCTTCCATGTCTCATAGCCACAGGCAACATGTCAGCCTAGCCCATCTGTCCTTCAAAGGAATCTGCCAAGCCCAATTACCTCTGTACCACTGGCCAATTTGTGTTCCATTTCATAATCCTTGGTGCAGTTACACTGCTTCAATAGGACTCAGTTTCAAAAAAAAAAGGCAGGGTGCGCATGTAGCAATTTTTGGGTGGCGGATGCCCTTGGCACAATGGACCTTCCGGTTGCAGACCAGTAAATAAGCAGCCATGGACAACAGTAATAAATATCCCCACTTCAAAAAATCAAGGAAAAATAGGTGGTTCCTGGGTGTTCAAGATACATGTCAAATTAAAGCTCGATTCCTCATTTTTAATTTTCCTTCCAGTTTTCAGTGGCTGAACCAATCACGTTGAAGATATTTCTCTCCAGAGATGATTGACCCTCAAAACAGTCATGAGGCACATTGCCATTTTGAAAAAAAATTATGCCATTGCGAAGTAGAGCAAAACTAAACTCTGTTTTATCCGATATTTTCAGAAACACAAGCTGGCAATTCTTCAGGTAGATTCCATCCTCCTGGTTCACAAACCATCTAGTTCATCTGCCATGAATGCTCTCATAGCAGAGAATTTGATAACAAAAAAAATTATTATCCAATCCCCGCAGGCAATTCCGGGCCTACTTACTTGCCTGTGACCTTATTCCCAGGGAAGCCATTTATCTTGTTCCCTGTCACATTCAACGTAATCTTTTAAATGAGGTGGTGCCAGACTATTTTGTATTCCAAACCTCACTTTCGCTTGTTTTATTTGGTTAAAACATTTTGATATGATTCATCACAAATCTGAATTTATCTAAACAAGAACTGGCAGGAATTTGTATGAACTTTTATTTCATCACCTCTGGGTTCCCAAAGTGAAAACTTTTACCTCATTTTCAGTTAAGATGGCCGACACATGAATGCAGTCTGTAGTTACATTTAGTTTGATTCAAATGATAGAAGTGCTCTTCCCGGTCTGAAGTCATGCTTTTTGTATGCATTGGGGGGTTTTTGCACCTGACGTTCTGATGCACAAGAGTGGTGTTACAAGACATTCCAGTGCTGCAAAACAAGGGCGCTCAACAGACAAGGACACCTGTCCCCAGCTGACCAATCAAGATCTCTAATCTTTCCCTGGTTCCCACATCGGCCTTGCCTGGAGACACTATAATCTGGACAAGCCATGTTTGTTTGTCCCGGAGATGGCTCATTCGCTACATCCCCCACCGGGTTTTGCTCCAGAACGAAATGGCATCTGTCAAGACAGATCCCTGTTCCCTGTGCCACTTCAAGGGATGTTACAGTGTGTTAGTGTTTGACCTGAGGGTTGAAGTTCATGACCCCACCCTTCCCTTCCGAGCCCCACCCCCCAACTCCTTAATCTACCCATGTACAATGTATTGGACTGAAGTCTTGTCACCCTAGTCAGTGTCACAACTTGCATTGATGTTGATCAAGAAATTTCGTATGTCAGTCTCACTGCCAAGGTTTAGCTGTTCATAGTGGTATATTGGTACTATATTCAGATAACAAAGATAATCAAGGGAGTAAGTAAACAAACAAACAATCAAACAAACAAACAAACAACCCAACAGACTGACAAACAAGGAATTAAACAATGAGATACCTCATTATCCTTAAGGTTGTGATTTAATTGGTGTTACTACAATTACAATACTCCTAAGAGACATTTGTCTTGGATCAAGGTTTTGGCCATGGAGCTGATTGGACGTTTTCCAGACATCCTCCAGGCTAGTTTCTAACCTCTCTTTCCTGTTTGTTATGCTGAGGGAAAAACTCATCAACTTAGATGCTTTTTTTTTTTTTACTTTCAGGCCAATTCCAATGCCCCTTTTTTTTAAACACTGGCTAAATCCTCATTTTGGCTTCTTGACTGTCCATATAATGGTGGGTTAATGTCCCTTACATTTGCTCTCAGGTCATACTGTTCAGTGTGTCTTCTGCCGTAGCACTCTTCCTCTTCAGGTAAGACTAAATTCTTTATATATTAGGTCTAGTAATTAGCTGTAGACATGATACAGATTTTATGAGAGTGCAAAGAACATATCCTAAGCTTTGTTACGTCATGCTGTGAGCAGTTTCGCACTTGCAGTAAACTTCAATGAAATGACCGTTTTTGTGTGACGGTTAAGTTGGTGGAATACTCGAGTAAAAGATACGAGATAGAAATCATTTGAATAAATGCATCTTCTCCTAGTCACATTTGTTTTTTCTTAGTTACATTTGCTGTTGCTCATCTCAGCTGAGCCTCAGAAGAATCATTTTGATCAAGCTTGATTCCTATGCCGCTGGAAATGCATAGCGTGCACATGGTCTTGCAGGTGTAGCAAAAAAGTGTGGAGGCGAGCTCAGTGTTGAAGGTGTCACATCCGAAGGCTCCGAGATCACCAGTCTCTACAAGAGGCTGAGAAGTGTTGTCTGCTCTGAAAAGGCAAATTAACAGCCGGCCAAAGCCCACTAATAGGATTAAGAATTATCCCCTCGCAGCCCACACTGGCAAATTGATTTCCGCTAGAGGCTGTTTCCCTTGATCTGGGGGGGGGAAGGAAAGAGCAGTACCAGACATTTAAACAGCCCAGCAGAGAGAGAATATCGGTTTGCCCGAATCAAAAGATGCTAAATTAACTGTCCACTTGCGGTACCGGCGTCAGCACGCACAATGGGCAGACTCCCAATCCACATATTGGAAAACGAATGGGATGCAGGATTAGACGGGGCCGGTGAATGCCGAGCAAGGCGGACAAACTCGATAAAATCAAGACGCATTAAAACGCCCCTGTAATTAGGTTTTTTCATTGTTTTGCCATCCGAAATTCATCCTGAAGGACAGTTGGTTGTCTCTTGGACAAAAAAAAAATTGGGAGTGCCATTCAGATGTGGAAATGTGTAGCAACAACATGTTTTGTCATGCACTTCCTTGATAATGTTTCACAGAGTGAGGCTGAAGTGGTGGAGTTTCCCTATATACTTGGTTAATCCTGTTTGGAGATAAACACAGGACTTGAGTGGTGCTCTTGACAGCACTTGAGCCAGATTATTAAGTACACGTATACAAATTCAACGCTTAGGGGAGAGAACTTAGAATTGGTTTCCCTTGCAGGATTATATTTTGGGTTGGAATGTATGAGGACGAAACTGGTGTCAGACATCACACACTTTCCAACCGTTCACCTTACTTCTTTGCACAAAAGTGGACGACACTGCAAATTACAGTACAACTGACCGTGATAAATGACATCAAAAACTGATCACATCCACGCAATTGTACAAGTTATTTCACCCTCTGGAATAACCTGATGTTGTAACAGCCAGAACCTGTCATTTATATTTCGAAGGAGCCAGGAATCCTTCCCGTTTGCCTTCTCAAAAACTTCCCTTGTTCCCACATCACTGTACAAAACAGGCATATGGTCTTTTAGTGTCGCTCACCAAGTTTTAATACACCTGTAACTTAAGCCCCCCTCCCCCATACCAGGACCAATTAAGTCTGTCTGCAACCTCTCCAGCAGTCCCCCCTGGGTTCAATTTACAGCCCTATTCTTATTCAAATGACCTTTTATTTCCCCCAGTGCCCTGGATGCATGATGAAAAGGTGGGAGAAAAAAAAAAAAACTGGGGCAGTACCTCTAGGTGAAAATGTGGCCTTTTGTTAGGGGTGTTGCTTTCAGGGTGCGCCTGTCTGTGAGTGTGTAAAAATGATTGTTCGAAGCAAGAAGGGAACTATGTTGGGAAGTGTATTAAACAAAAAAAAACCAATTGGGGGCTGCATGATTTCAGGCCAGAAATGTGAGTCATCACATACGTTTGTAAGTACCACCCTGGTAATTAATTTGGTGGTCTCTTGGCGTTGTTGATCTTTCTTTGTGCCCGGGCTTTGAGTCTGTCCTCTAAAACCCCTCCAAGGAGGTGCGAAGGTTTGTCATTTTTTTGGAACCGCCACTTATCTGCCGCCCTTCAGGACTGCTTCGTGCTTATGCAGCGACGGTGCCCAAGATTGGATCTCTTTCACACACGGGACTGGTACTCCCCTCAATATTCCCCCAGGCCACACTCACCCCCTCAATATCAAGACCAGGTCCGAATGACTGGAGCGTCCTACCAGTCCAAGTTTCAGCTGTATGCCCTGAGGAGGGGGGGAGGGTAAATAGGTTGAAATGGGTGCATTCTCTGGGGCGGGGAAGATATGGAGATACATGGGAGAAGAGAAGAGGAGAAACAAAGACCCGACGGAGGGACAGAGGGGGATGTCAAGACAATGTGCAACGACCCAGTTGGTGGGCGTCTAATCCTGCCATGATTTGGCGGACGACAGTGTTATAATCCTGTCATATTGTCGTTGGAGGTGTGCGAGCATGGAATGTAACTCCAATTTCGATGCAACGAAAGATGCAAATCTCAAATTTCTTGTTCTTTTTTCCTTCAATCGTTGCCGCGGGACTTTATGTATTTGAGTGGGTCAGCTTTGCATGTCTTCAATGACTTTGTTCTTAAAACCAAATTACGAATATTTTCGAATTGCGTGTTCCAGAGAAGAAAAATGTCACGATTGCAGTTGCCAAAACTTTTAAGATATTTTTAATTAGTTTATACATGTAGGTGTCATTAAAACAAAAGTATTTGATTCCTTAACAACATGATTTTCAGTTCAAATAAAAAGCTGGTTGACATACATCTACATTACCAGCGTTGTTCCAATAATTTTTTTCTGCTGTTATTCTGACCATATCTATTTTTGTAGAAATAGCTACATACTCCTTCAAATTAGTTTGGAATCACAGGTAATTTAGGGACAGAATTCTGCCTGAACAGAATGCAACAATTTGATAGTCCTTTTTAACACCTCAAGTGTGTCTTCAACTTAATGTAAAAAACTCTCATGGTGGACAATTTGAGTAGTGCCCTCTGCTGGCCGGCAGAATAAAAGAATATTTGGCCATGTCTGAAATGAGCTTCCAGACCTACAGCTACTGTATTTCTATTGTTGGTGGGTCCCTGTGTATTTATAATGGCAGAGCTTCTTGACCTAGGTCCAGACATCATGTTTGCTGCCCTCTGTTGATGAGAAATCTGTGCTCTCCAGTAAACTTTTCTAAAAAGCCAAATCTAAAATGGGCATTGTTGTCTGTGGTTATGGATGCCTACCAAAATGCCCTAATTACAAAATCTGAAGTCATAGCCACAACTGTCCTGTTCAGAATGGACTAGTATTGTTAAAGAACGAATTGGGCATATTCTGTTTTCAATACTAGTATTAGATAAAAACTATCTTCCCTCGTTAGCTGGATTCATTTATTAGTTTAGCATATCTTGATTTACGTGTACATGTCCATAAGCTAAAATTGTGAAGAATGACGCCAAACTAAGAATTATGCCAAACTTTATGGATTGGGTGTACCGCCGTCTGCCCTAATCTACATCAAACAGTATACAGATTCCTAGTTTTAGTGCATCAGTTAGATAGGCATACAGGTGACTCGCTGAAGCATTGTAGAATCACTCTGTAAGTTCTTGAAAGCAAGAATCCGTTGCAGAGGTTCGGGAGAAACACAGCACACCACCAAGAGTTTGCCCCAGAAAGGCCACTTTTCAAGTTTACTGTCAACACGCTGCCATGATTAAGCGCACTTGGTACGTAATTCAGGGATACATTTATTTGCTTGACTGAGACTGTCCCTGCACCACACAAAAGCATCATTTTGACTACCCAACACCCATTCGCAGTAATTTTCAAATTTTCAACCGAGAGAAACAAATATTTTTTTTAAAAATTCACGTTTTCTGAGCACAGCACAGTTAGTGAATGAGACTTTGTCAACTATTTATCCCATAATGCACTGTGAAAGGGCCTCTCCATGACAACCTCTTGGTGGTACGCTGCATTGTGAATCACCCATATTACAAGGCGTGCATCTTACAGATAAAAAACTGCTTGGACGTACAGTGGGCTTGTCGCCACCTGGGCCAAGCGAACTGAGAGGCTACCTGCATGCTACAGTTGCCCGCCGGCCCTTGGTCAGTGTCAGCCTCCCAGTTCTCGTAGGGTGCCCGTAGTCCCCGTAGCTTGTCCAGCCACGCCCACAGATCCCCAGACGTGGCTCTGTGGTTGCCCAACCAAATGCCCTGTTCCCCTGAAAAGTAACAGACACAAAAGTTAAAAGAAACTGACCAAACATGAAATGCATCATTAAGCTGTGATGAACAGTTATCAGATTTCTTTCACCCAAAATGAGGAAGTTGACATGGCTTTCTTTCATTCACATGGAAAGGAAATAAAGTTGGGCATCTATCACTCTGCTTGCCGCACCTTCAAATGGTCCTTGCATCTCCTTCCAGTAGGAACTAACAAAGTCTTCCTCCTCGGCCGAGCCGATGGAAACAAGATGAGCGGTCTCCTTCCTGGTCTCCATCTCTGTCTTCATCTCTGTCCTCGTCTGAGTTCCTTCCTCAACTCCAGATTCTTCTTCCATCTTTCCATCCATCTCCGTCCCTATCCTCACCCCAGTCCCCGCCCCCTCGCAGATGGTGTACCGCCGGCAGGTGGCCTCCGCCTCTCGCCAGGTCTTGGCCTGGCCGAAGAGACGGTAGCAGAAGCTACCGGCCTTGAGCTGGTACTGGGTCCAGACAGGAGGGCAGTAGTTGACAGCCGCGGCTTGGTCGACAGAGAACGTCACAACCAACACTGTTGCCATAAGAAGAGTCCCTCCAGAGAGGTGCATCGTTGGTTGCATCTGGGACTATAAACTGTCCTGTCTGATATACAGAAATAGAATTTAGAATATATGACAGTTGCCCTGTATGGTACTGGGCTATTTAGTTTCTTGAGGAAGCATGCTGCTGGTTTTGTCAGTGACAATTTTCAATCGGAGCCGGACAATCTTGTAAATTTCCAGCAGAGTGATAGTACTGTGGGTGAAGAGTAATCCAGTGTGTCTCACACTTACGTAGTTGAAGACCAGAAAGAGTGTTGTCAGGGAACAGTGTTACAGTCAACAAGAATATGTGCCCTATTCATGGGTTCTGTTGCCCCGTTTTAAAGCGGCATGGGTTGCGTGGATGATGTGGAAAAGTCCTTTCTCTGCCTCTAAGTTATTCCAGGAGAGGATCAGTTTCAGCCATAACTTGCGTGAAGACGAAAAGGAGACTTTTAAAAAAGCTTTCCAGAAAGCATTTCTATAATCAGCACATGTTATGCATACCTTCGATCCTGCCTCTGGAAACTGAAAGCTAGATGCCAGATAGAGTGTTCGTTCAGGCTGCCGAGCAAGTCGTGTTGTGCACCCTCCAACTGCAGCAGGGGACGGCAGTGAAGTTAAGAGCAGCCCGTCAAGAAAAACCACTTGACATTGTGGCTGGCTCAAGGAGCTTAAGCCAGGATATACGCCAGATGTGCTCGTGTTTGTGGTCCGCAGCCAATTTGGCAACACAGTGGGCCCAATCAAAGGCGTTTACCCGCAAAGAAACAGCCGGCCCATATATAGGTGTGTGTGTGGATCTCGTACGACATTTGTAGGTCAGGAAAGAATCGGTGGTCCACAGTGGCTGGCCATTGTCATCTTCTACGGCCGTCTTGGTGGAAACAGGCACTTATAGACAACCACTTTAAAGGTTCATTGTTCGGGACCAATTTCCTGCAAGCTGGTGAGCACATATTATTGCTAAACACAGATGTTTCGCTTAGCAAAAAACAGGTAACTGACTAAAATGTCTTTTGATGTGTGTAGCCTATAACCAGTGCCCATTTGCTCAATGCAAAAAAAATTTGCTAAGCAGATATTTCCGCTCACCAGCTCCTGGAAATTGGACCCTGAACTTCAAAATTCAACGAATGACCTTTGCAAATGAGTCCCCTTGTATCAACAGCGGTGGAATTTTTCAGAAGTCAAGGAGCACCGTGCAGATAGCTGGGGAATTGGATTAAGAAACATGTGGCGAAGACAACAACTTGTTATTATCGCTCGCCAAGAGACAGTTTGGTCGCCCTCTTTGGAGGCACAGCATGGTTTGTTGGTTTGTGCCACCCTACTCCTAATTGTTCCCAGCATGCACCCCCACTGTGCCACGGCCGGAGCTGGGGAAATGCTGTGAAATAGTGCACTGAACCTGCCTGCCCGAAATGCCACCAGCTGGACCCTAAATGTAATCTTTGTACATAGTTCACTCATAGGTTCACTGTTGCCTTAACCATTGGCTGATAATGATCAATGGACTGGCAACCATTTGAATGGGGGCATGCATCAGTTTATAGCTCCTGTGATTTCATTGGTTGGCATCAATATTTGTAGGAACAGTTAAGTCCTTTGATTGGCCAATCCTCCAGAGTATTAAACAATAGGTACTGCAGACTGTGTATATGTGTTAATTCAACTTGACCCCATGTGAGGTTCTTCTAAATTCCTTGACTTGAATTTATTTTTCCTGTTGCAGATATGGCAACATGCTGAAGAGAGACTCACTCTCGGCACTGAAGTAAGTAAAGTGTTTTTTCCACCATTCCCGTCTTTTCTCAAGAATTGTATCGGTTAATTCCTGAGAAAAATTGAACTGTGCAAAATGTGTGGCAGGGAATCAATCAGTTGATCCTCAGTCATTCAAGCAGCTAAGCACGAAAGTCGGTCCTTTCTTCATTAATTTCATTTGCAAAACTGTTTGCAAGATGGATCGTTTTCTCCACAATTTTTCCCTCAGAACAGTCCCAAATCTTTTATAATCCAACCCATTGCCGTCACCAAATGGCAAGATTTTTGGTACTGGCAACAAAAGGTGGGCAATCAAGTTCTGAGGCTCTGCAGGCCTACATCTTTCAAAATCAGGCAAAAGTTGATGATGGCTTTTGGTAGTTTTTGTTGGACGTGGGCTCGTTTTTTACAGTCGCTGTATACGGTTGTCTTCAGGTTGCTGGTTGGAGTCCAGGAAATGCCAGCGGAGCTTCAACCAGACGAAGTCCGGCTGCAGGTCACCGGCAACGAGAAGGGTTCCCCGCGTGAGGTTTCGCCGACACTGCAGAGGCAGACATTCCTGTCAGCTCTCCGAGAGACACTCAACAGCAAGTGCCTACAACTTGTAAATTGGTAATCAGATTATTTTGATCCGCACCAACGTACTGTTCCAAACACTTCAATAGTGCCCTGCTCTTTCTGACTGAAAACGAAAAGCTTCCCGAGCTAACTCTTCCAGGAACTCGGAGCTGTACATGTACGTGAGGAAAATTTTGTGAGGCTCAAGAGCCACACTGTCGCATTTGGCCGACTTGCCCAGTACGCCTACTTGTCCAGGATCACCATAAACTCAAGGGAGTTTCCCCATCGGCTGGACCCCACCTCTCATTTCCTCACCGTTGCAGAGGCACCTGTATGCTAACAATTATTACTCCTCGTGTTTGGCCACAGGCTCAAGTCTCTCCATAAACACCGACTATGCCAGCACCAGTCTAGCTGTATGTATTATGTCTTACAGGTAGGTCGTGTTTTCGGAATCTTATCGGCATTATCCAGTTGAGCTTAGTTGGTTTTGTGAGGTGGTATTCACTTGTGTGCCCGAATGAGGTCCAGAAGGAGATCATTTTGAGCCTCTTTTTCTATGGAGGAGCCTAGGCAGGTATCAGGAATTGACTCGAGAATGTACCCCCACNGTCCAACCTTCCCCCCCCCACACACAAAATTGTAGTCGGGTCCCCTTCAGAACCATCACAAGATCTTACAAGAAAATCGTAAGACCGTCACAAGACCTCTGGCCTGAAATCGAAATCACCATCTATTCCAATGAAATTCAGTTCTCTGTCACTTGTGCCTGGCCTCGTGACGGTTTCAACTTCACCACAGCCTCGCCATCCCCGTAGGCTGTCAGAGTGCAAGGATTCAGGGTACCCTAAAACATGGAACTCTGTATTCCCTACTTCAGGCCAGTATTCGCAAGTTTGCCGTGGGCTACGCCGTACAGGCAGCCCTGAACCTCTTGAGAGCCCTGCCCAGGGTGACAACCAGGCCCGGGCTTCTCGTCCAGGCCCTGGTACGCCAAGACAACTTCGGCCTGGCACTCTTTCTCAGTCTCTTTGTGGGAATCTTCCGAGTAAGTCTGTCTTTCTCTTACTAAGAATTTTGGGCAGTTTCACAATGCAGTGCTGTCACCAAAGTACAAATCTTGATATATGTAACCGCAGGGTGGCGTGGGATGAAGTCAAACATCTGCACGTGGGCATTGCCTGATGATATTCGTGATAGCACAAGCCCCTAATGGCATCAAGGATTCAGTAGTGTTACATGTTTCAGGTGCAGGCAAATCATTAAGAATTTTCCCTTTGAATCTATTTAAAGTTGATTTGTATTCGCATGGCTTGCAGATACAATATTGTACACTGCAGAGGTATCGCGCCCAAAGTGTGGACAGTATTAGCAAAGTGGATCGTGTAGATAAAAAGTAACCTGGACAAAGCAAATGCATATGGGCACCTTGTGTGGTAAATTCCTTGCTTTTTTTGTGTCTTTCTAGAGCCTCAGCTGCCTTTTACGTTGGCTCCGAAACAAGGACAGCCCTCTGCATGCATTAATAGCTGGTGAGATCCTCTGCATCATATCAGAAATTGTTAATACTGATAATTTATTGATCATTTTTGACCTGCCCCAGGAAAAAGGTGATGTAAGTCACACAGTGCCCAGCCATAAAATAGCCCACTCAAAAGTTCAGAGGATGAAATTTCTCTTTGAATTTCAATTTTCATTTTTTTGTCAGAAATAACATCTTTGATCTCTCAAGTTTCATGTTTGATGAAACTAAAATGTTCACAAGAAATATGTTTGTCGCAAGTGTTCCAAGCCTTGTAAGTGTGTATAAGATTCAACTTTATTCCAAGCCTGTTTATTTCATTTTCAGTAAACCCCTCGAGTCAGTTTGGTTTCCTTCTCATTTTTCAGTTTTGCCCCAGCAAAACATGGCGATTGATAGTTTTAGCAACCATTCTTAGATTGGCCTCCTGACTAATCTGTACTTCCGGTACTTTTGTAGGCGGAGCGGCTGGTGTGTCTAGTATCTTCTATCGTAGCACAACCATATCACTGTATTTTGCTTCCAAGATCATTGAGGTCAGTGAAAATCTTGTCGTTTTGCTGTCACAGTAATTTTATGCGTCAGTCGTCAGTCAAACTCCAGTGACTTGTTTGCTCTTGAAGATCATTTCGGTTCCTGACCAACACAGCTTGAAAAAAAATTTCAGTAAATGATGTGCCATCTGGGGCCAATTTCATAGAGCTGCTTAAGCACAAAATCCGCCTAAGCGTGAAAAACCCTTGCTTTATAACACAAAGGTTACCAGCTCAAACTCTATCTGATTGTCATGCTAACTAAAAGACGGCTAAATATGATTCCAAAACAATATGCATCACATGGAGTTTTGGCTGGTTACCTGATTGATCAAGCAAGGTTTTCTCGTGCGAGTTTTGGCTGGTTACCTGATTTATCAAGCAAGGTTTTCTCGTGCTTAAGCAAATTTTGTGCGTAAGCAGCTCTATGAAAATGGCCCCTGTACGTCAGCCAATCTGTGTTGGCATTGTTTGTGAGCAAATGCCCTGTGCTTGCCAGAAACTAAGCTCAAAGGATCGCAATAGCAAACTCCTAGACCGTTTCAGGCATGCAACTTTTCCTCGGATCAGCTTGACTTTCTTGTTTCTCACTTCACACTCATGCCATTGAAAACGGAAAAACCGCTGTAGAGTGTCTTGTAAAGATTAGAATGTCCTCCTTTTTTGTCCAAGTCCAAGTGCATGCCCGTCATTTGAACACATTTGAGATTCAGTTTCCCATGTAAGTAATGGTGACTGGGCTTTACTGATCATTGTACATAATGTTTTTTCGGGGGGGAGGGTGGGAGAAGGGTTTGGAGAGTAAGCATGAATGACATTCTTGTTAGTATTGGTTGCAGTGGTTTCGATTTGGAATTTGACTTTTTTTTTTTCTTTTTTGGCAGAGCCTTCTAATCAAAGGCCAACAGCAGGGCGTCATTCCCGTCATTCCCCATGCCCAGTCCATCGTCTACGCACTGTCCACGGCAACCGTACTACATGCGGTAAGTCGGGAGCATTTCGCACTTGACTCTGCTATGCCTTAGCCACGGCCGTCGGCGAGAAAATCTAGCCGATGAAAGATTGGAGAGTCACTACATGGAGTGTTATTTCATTTTATTTGTTTGGTTTTTTTTTCTTGCACTTTGCAGGGAGCATATGAGCCACACAACATCCGACCAGCCTACTGGAAATTCCTGCTGGATCTAACGGGAGACAAGTAAGTAGACAGCAAACATCCTAACCACCCCTCCAAATCCCCCCCAAAAGCCACAAATGGCCGTATCATAATAACAGTGACTACGGCTTCAAAAGTGGCTCTTCGCCCTGACTTCAAAGTGAGGTGCAAGTCGCCGGAGCCGCTTCTGAGTTGACAGGCCTTCAATATAATTGCAAGGATTCACATCATAAGGATCATGAAAGTTTGGTGCTTTGGTTCTTTCCATGGTATTTTCTGACAGATAAGAACACTGTGACGCTGCTTTCCACCAAAAACACAGTTAATGAGCATTTTGCCATTCTTGCATATGACAATTAGTGCCAGTCAGAAAAGTTTCATTTGTGACAGGAAAAAGAACAAATTTCTCCCCGGAATGCCTCCAGGTGTAATACCAGTCTGGGGTACCCATAATTGCCCTGAAAGTGGGACCGTCGCATTACGTATTCCTCATATCACGGCATCAGAAATGTTTGGGCTGTGGCTGACAGAAGCATGTCAGCCCATGGATGGCATTAGCTTAGCCACTTCCCGTAGACTCATGTAATGCTAATACTTTTAGCTATACCCAACGCATGCGGACACAGCTGTTTTATAACTCCGATCAGGATTAGGGATTTCTTAACAAATAGTTGCCTCGTAGGTATTTACTAACACTTCAGCACTTCAACATCTCGTCACTTTCTGTTTTGACACAGTCATGAATGTAAACATATTGACCATACGCTGCCGGGTTTCATTTGAAGTTGCATGATGTATTCCCGGGGGAATTTCAAGATTTTCCATTTTCAAAATTCTTCACAAATTCAAAACTTCATTTACTGGATGTTTACACCCACATGAATGACTGTCTGGTGGCTACTCTAATCTGACAGACAATATCTATTGACACCCAAGTATTTCAGCCCGGCGTGCCGCCTTGTAAAAAGAGCCCAGATTGTGCAGTGTTACGTAATTTGCTTTTGTTCCCGAAATTGGCACAGTGCGCTACAGGCGTCTTTTCAAACATGGACCAAATTAACGTGCGTTGGTATTGTATTGCTCATCCCTGATGCACATTTGTCCCCAGTGGTAGTCCGCTCCCCCAACCCTCGAAAACAATGACGGATTTCTTACACTATTGACAACCACCACCCCTCCCCAACCCAGCCCTCAACCCTCCACCCACTGAGCAGCCAACCCTTCCCACACCCAACCACCACCCCTCCCCACACCCAATCACCACCCTTTCACACACCCACCCCAGCCCACATCCAGTGGCCAACTCTTCCC